TCCACTCCTGTCTGGGCTCCTTGGCCCAGTCTCATTTTCTAAGCCTGGCCCTGTGCCTCTCTCTCAACTTCCCAGCTGTCTGGACCTTGAATTTCTCAAAGCCTCTCCACTTTTCACCCCATTACTTCTCATTCACTGCTTCTCTCATCAAGCCCTTAGTATGTGCCAGGTTCTCTTCTAAACAACTGATATGAATTAGTCTCATTCAATTCTCAACCACCAACCCTATGAGTTCCACTTGACAGATGAGAAAATAGCCACAGGAAGAGTCAATAACTATATATACAAGGAGGTGAAGACATCAACTCTGGAGGCAATCCTAGATCATACAGTTACTAGCCACGTGACCTTGGGTAGTTTTTACTTTTTACCTCTCAGCCTCTACATCTGTGAAACTAGAGGGGCTGGGGGGATATTAACACCAATGTCATGAGGCTCCTGTGAGGATTAGTTACAACATCAGAATACACCCAGCACTACTAGGTGCTCAATAGATGATCTTCCAGATCCCTGTATCATCAACTCTCTTGGCCCAGTTCCACCCTATCTGCTCCACTTTCTAGATCAGTCACCCCCACCACCCCCAAGTCTTCCCCACCCCGGGCGTGTCACTTCCTCCTCTTGTAGCCTCCCAGATCAGTACACAAAGGCTGCCGCTGCCGCTGGAGGAAAGGCTGCCCTGCTCGCACCTGTGAGTACCAGGGCATCAGCCCTCCTGCCTCTGTACTGGTCCAGGCCCCACCTGGTTCCAACCTCCCTGGAAGGGGTTCTGACCTGAAGACTCCCAGGATTCACTGAGACTTGAGCAAGGCTCTGAACTCCTGCATTCCTAAGATGCCCTGTCTTGTTCCTTTCTCCCATTTCACAAGCCCTCCTTCTCCCCACCTCTCTCTCTTGCATCAGTTTCCCAAGAATGGGGCTGGAGGGAGGAAAAGAAGGGGAGGGAATGTGTAGGTGCTATTAATTTGAATGCCTGCCATGTGCCAAGGATTATGCCAAGGTAGGTTCTCCTAATATTACTCCCCAGCTGCCATCCTGCTGCTTAATGAGCTCGCAGTGGGGGGTGGGAGGGGTTAAGGGGGTGCTCAGCCCAGATTCCCCACTCTTGGGTGACTGTAGCCCAGGGGCTCGGTTCTCTTTCCTCCTGGTGACTCCTGAGTGGACAGCACAGGGTTCTGCCTGACTTGGGAAGATCTGGATAGATTGGGAAGCCGCTGGTTTTCAGCTGCTCAGGGAACAGTAGGGTGTGTACTGGAGTCAGAATTGAGTCCAGGAAAATGAGACAACCACGGAGGGAGAGAAGGGAAGACTAAAGAAGTCCCCCTCCCCCGTGGAAAGAGGAAGGGGATTAGGTAGAGTCCATTGGGGCTACTTGGGGAGAGGGCACTCACTTCCTCACTGATGGCGCCTGGCTTGGAGGGAAACAGAACACCTGTCTCAGTCCCTGTTCTGCCTCTAGTGCACTGTGTGACCTTGGGCGAGTCGCTCACCACTCTGGATTCAGGTTTCCATTTGTATAAAGAGGGGGGTTGAACTAGAAGCTTCTGCCTTCCTATGGTTAGGATCAGAGAGAAAAAGAAGCAAAACAAAGAACTGTGAAAAAGTGGAGAAGAGAAAAGCAGCAGAAATGTAATAAAATTTTTGAATAGAAACGGGAGAGTGAGGCAGATCAAGAGAAATGGCAGGTCATGTATTCATAAGGAGGGGAGAACAAGGTGGAGGGGGAATTAAGAGAAGGGGATTGGAGTGGGCTGTCCAGGGAGTCCCTGGGCCCCCTTTAGGGGAGATGAGTGGGGCTTGAGGTTTCTGGGGTTGTCCTATCCGGGGAACCAGTGTACCATGGGGGCCCCACCTATGAGAGATGAGTCAAAAGTGGGCTTTGTACTGCAGCATCTCCAGTCTCCCCCGACCACAGGCGTGCAGAGCAAACAAGGCTGAGGTTACACTGGGCTGGTCTGTCTCGGAGGGTGGAGCCTCCATTACACATAGATTCTATGCCTGAGGTCACAGGTGGAGGGGAGCAGGACACGGTGGTCAATGGGCACCCCACCCTTTCCCACACTCTGCAGAGCATCAGGATTTGAGTCTAGGTCCAGGCTGAGGAGGAGGCAGATGCTTCATGACCAAGAGTTATCTGGCCTTCCTCATAGACCACTGATGGGGATGTAAACTGGCGCATTCTTTAAGGCAGTTATGTTGGCAACACTCGGCAATATTACAAATGGTGCCTGTTTACTGACCTCACAAACTCTCTTCCAGGGATTTATCCTGCAGATTCCCTTCCACACATGTGAAATGAAAATATATGAATTTTCACTGCAATATTATTTACAATAGTGAACAATTAGAAGCAATTAAAAAACCCCACCATAAGAGACTAACCACAATATGATCAATCTATGCAATAAAAAACTATATGCCTGTAAAAATAAACAAGGAAGTTCTTTATTTTCTTGGGTAGCAGGATCTCTAAGAAAAGTAAAGGAGAAAAAAAAAGTAAGATGCCAAACTGTGTATTCTCTCATTTTTAGAATTCTATCATTTGATTCTACCATTTGAAGAATATATATACAGAATGTCCCCAAAGAATGTATACATACTTTATCAGCTGATAGCTGAATTATGAAAATGAAATGTATTTTAATAAACATTGCCTTTATAATTATTCAGTGTGTATACATTTTTGGGGACACCCGACATATGTTTACATTAGTTTGTATATGCATAAAACAATCTCTAGAAAGACTACAAGCAACAAATGATAATAATAAATGATGGTTATTTATTTAAAGTGGGTGTGGAAGTGGGTGGATGGGGGATTTCCCAGTATCTTATTTAACTTTGATCTTTTTTTATGGTGGTAAAATACACATAAAATCTATCATTTTAACAGTTTTTAAGTGTATCTGACTCAATGGCATTAAGGACATTCACAATGATGTGCAACCACAAACACTATCTACTTCCAGAACTTTTTCTTCACCTCAAAGGGAAACTGTCTATTAAGCAGTCACTCTCCATCCTTCTCTCCTCCCCAACATCTGGGAACCTCTAATCTACTTTTTCTTTTTAAAATATTTTTATTGATTTCAGAGAAGAAGGGAGAGGGAGAGAGAGCTAGAAATGTCAATGATGAGAGAGAACCATTGACCAGCTGCCTCCTGCATACACCACACTGGAGATGGAGCCCACAACCCAGCACGTGCCCTGACTGGGAATCGAACCATGACCTCCTGGTTCATAGGTCGATGCTCAATCACTGAGCCATGCCAGCTGGGCACACTCAGGCTGTTTCACATAAGTAGAGTCATACATTCTGTGGGTTTTTGTGACTGGTTTTGTTCACTCAGCATAATGTTTTCAAGGTTCATTGGTGTTGCAGCATGGTCAGTACTTTGTTCCTTTTTATGGCCAAATACTATTTCATTGTAGGGATATACCTATTTTGTTTTACCTATTCATCAGTTGATGGACATTGGGTTGTTTCTACCTTTCAGCTATTGTGAGTAGTACTGCTATGAATATTCATGTACAAGTTTTTTCCCCTCCATCTTGTGTGTGTGTGTGTGTGTGTGTGTGTGTATACAAGTTTTTGTTTGAACACCTGTTTTCAATTCTTTAGGAATACACCAAGAGTGAAATTGTCAGGTCATAGGGCAGCGGTTCTCAACCTGTGGGTCGCGACCCCTTTGGTGGTCAAACGACCCTTTCACAGGGGTCGCCTAAGACCATCCTGCATATCAGATATTTACATTACGATTCATAACAGTAGCAACATTACAGTTATGAAGTAGCAACGAAAATAATTTTATGGTTGGGTCACAACAGGAGGAACTGTATTTAAAGGGCCAGAAGGTTGAGAACCACTGTCATAGGGTAATTCTATGTTTTAACTTATCGAAGAATCACCAAACTGTTTCCCACAGTGTTCTCACCACTAACAATGAGAGTCCCATTTTCTCTACATCCTCATCAACACTTATTTTCCATTTTTTAACGATAGCCATTCTAGAGAGTATGAAGCGATGCCTTGCTGTGGTTTTGATTTGCATTTTCTGGACAACTAGTGTTGAGCATCGTTTTATGTGCTTGTCGGCCATTTGTCTATCTCCTTTATCGAAACAACTATTTAAATCCTTTGCCCACTTTTTTCTTTTCTTTTCTTTCAAAGTTATCCGGATACTCTCTTCCATGGTCCTGCTTGCTATTTTTAAAAATTTATCTTTATTGTTGAAAGTATTACAGATCCTTTGCTCATTTTAAAATAGAGTTGTCTTTTTGTTGTTGATCTGTAAGAGTTCTTTATATATTCTGGATATTAATCAGATATATGATTTGTAAATATTTTCTCCCATTCTGAGACCCATCGTTTTACTCTCTTGAAAGTGTCCTCTGATGCACAAGTTTTACATTTTGATGAAGTGCAATTTATCTTTTTTCTTGTGTTGCTTGTGCTTTTTAAAAAAATTGTGGCTTGTGCTTTTGATGTTACAGCTAAGAGTCAATTGTCAAGTCCAAAATCATGAAGATTTACCCCTATGTTTTTCCTAAGGATTTATAGTTTAAGCACTTTTTAAAAGGCCTTTGATTCATTTTCAGTTAATTTTTGTATATGTTGTGAGGTAGGAACCCAACTTCATTATTTTTGTTTGTTTGTTTTTAATTTTGTTTTATTGCTTAAAGTATTACAAAGAGTATTACATGTGTCTCCTTCCTCCCCCCCCCTTGACATTCCCCTAGCCTCCCCTACCCCCCAGTGTCTTGTGTCTGTTGGTTATGCTTATATGAATGCATACAAGTCCTTCAGTTGACCTCTTACCCAACTTCATTATTTTACATGTGGATATCCAGTCATCCCAGCACCATTTGTTGAATATTATTTTCTCTTTATTGAATGGTTTGGCACCTTTGTTGAAAATCAATTGGCCATAAGTGGATGGATTTACTTCTGGACTCTCAATTCTACTCCATGAATCTATATGCCTGTCCTTATGTCAGCACCACACTGACCTGTGACAAGTTGGGAAGTGTGAGTCCTCCTACTTTGTTCTTTTTCAAGATTGTTCTGGCTATTCATGGAATTCCATATGAATTTTAGAATCAGCTTTTCCGTTTATGTAAAAAAAAAGAAGGCCAATATGATTTTTAAATCTTTATTTAAATATATTTTTATTAATTTCAGAGAGGGAGAGGGAGAGATAGAAACATCAATGATGAGAGAGAATCATTGATTGGCTGCCTCCTGCACACCCCTACTGGGGATTGAGCCAGCAACCTGGGCATGTGCCATTGCCGGAATCAAACCCCAGACCCTTCAGTCTGCAGGCCGACGCTCTAGCCACCGAGACAAACCGGTTAGGGTGGACTATGCTTCTTGGACACAACCAGAGCAAGTGGTTAGGCAAAAAGGGAGGCTTTTTATTGGTGCCTCTCCACCCTCTCAGCAGGCAGGTGCTCCCCTGTTCTGAACCCCAATGGAGAAGGGACAGGAAACTGAAGACAAGTAGTTGAAGTCTGCCCCTCTCACTGCTTCACCAGGTCCCTGGGCCCGGAGAGTCAAAGATTGTTCTGGCTATTCATGGAATTCCATATGAATTTTAGAATCAGCTTTTCCGTTTATGTAAAAAAAAAGAAGGCCAATATGATTTTTAAATCTTTATTTAAATATATTTTTATTAATTTCAGAGAGGGAGAGGGAGAGATAGAAACATCAATGATGAGAGAGAATCATTGATTGGCTGCCTCCTGCATGCCCCCTACTGGGGATTGAGCCAGCAACCTGGGCATGTGCCATTGCCGGAATCAAACCCCAGACCCTTCAGTCTGCAGGCCGATGCTCTATCCACTGAGCCAAACCAGCTAAGGCTTTTTTTATTTTATTTTTGAAGCATGGTAAAGGGTTGCCCATTCAAAATTTTCATTAATATGTTTTTTAAAATCAGAAATTTACCTGGTATTCCCTAGAGGTCATTCCAGGAATTACCCTGCCTTCAGGCTCTCTCACATTGATATGTCTCTCTCTCTCTCTCTCTCTCTCTCTCTCTCTCTCTGCTCCCCGCTTAAATATCTTTATTGAATCAGAGAAGGGAGAGGGAGAGAGAGCTAGAAACATCAATGATGAGAAGAGAATCATTGATCCTCTGCCTCCTGCACACCCCACACTGGGAATCAAGCCTGCAACCTGGGCGTGACTACCCCCAATTGGGGATTGAGCCCTCAACGCAGGCATGTACCCTGACTTCCTGGTTCATAGGTCAATGCTCAACCACTGAACCATGCTGGCCGGGCCTTCAGGCTTTTTCTCCACTCTAGATTCCCTTTGTGCAAAGCACAGAAAAAGTTTTATCACCCGTTGCCCTTCCTTCCTGTGCTATTCCAGACCTTCAGAAAGTTCTTATGATCTAATCTTTATTTCTCTTGCATTTATTTCTCATGTTAAACAAATACAGCTAACCTTCGTGCCTTTCACGCAGTCCCTCATCTGCTCCAGCTTTATTTCTTATCATTCTACTCAGACTCCCGCCCCCTTATTTACAGCCTCTAACACTCTTCCCTTATATAAAATCCAAGATTATAAAAGCTATAAGAGCTGTCAGATTATTCAATACCCTCACTTTACAGATGTGGAATGAGGCCCAGAGAGAAAGTCTGACCTGCCACACAGCCAATGAGTGACTGAGGCAGGACCAGAATCTGGTCTGTTTCCCTTGTGGTTCTATTTCCACTATGACTTGGAATCTTGTTGATTCCAATCTATCTGTGTGTAGACCATGGTGCCTCCTGGCCCAGTCCCCAGACTCTTGGCTAGGGCATTTTGCTCACCCTGGCCTCTTTTTTCTTTTTTTAAATATATTTTTTATTGATTTTAGAGAGGAAAGGAGAGAGAGAGAGAGAGAGAGAGAGAGAGAG